ACCGATAACAATAAATTAGCATGCTATTGTGTTCCTCTGATACCCATTCCAATTTCCAGTTAAACAAACCAGAAAATTAATCTATTTTGCCCCACTCTACATATTTTCACACATGAAAATGATGATTACACATACTTCTTACGGTTTTTTAACGTTACCCCACTGAGGTGAGAAGAGGCAGGAATATTTTTATAGCACTGGACAGCTGGATTGTATCCCAGCTTTGCTATGACTTAGTGGGTGTATCCTTTGACCTTTCTGTAACTATATTTTCTTGCTCATGAAATTGAAAACAATCAATTTCTTTTACACGGAGGCAGCAAAGTTACTGATATCTCTCTCCCCCCCCCCTTCTTTTCTTTCTTTCTTTTCTTTCTTTCTTTCTTTTCTTTCTTTTCTTTCTTTCTTTTCTTTCTTTCCCTTAACAATTGTATTTAATATTTTAAATAATACCCACCAATACTGCTACACTGAGATTCTGGAAATCAGCCAAGGTAATGAAATGCAGTGTATACATTCTTTAAGGAATAAAAATAATTTTCATGTGTTAGCCTGTGCAATGCTGTCCAAGCTCTCATCCACTGCTTACGTTCAACAAGAATGGCTGCTAATTTGGTTGTCATAACAACTACAGCTCTACTGTCGTATTGTCTTCCTCAAGCCCAATTTGTTTATAAACCTCTAAATTGTTTCATGTTCCGATGTTAACCTCAAACAGAAATAAAAATCTCAGGCCAGTGAAAAACCCCAAAAGGAAAAGAGTAGCTGACAACTTACATTAGAAAAGATTTTGAATATTTACTCTACTATTTAATTAATAGTAAAAAGATTTTTATGTAATTTTCAGAAGTAACTCACACTCTAATTATTGTATAGGGCAACATATCACTTTGAATGGTTGTCCATAACTTAATTTAAAGCAAGAAAAACCTTAGCCCAGGTTTCCCTTGTACTAATATGCAATCTATTATGTAAGGGTTGCCCACAATGTTTCAGAAATGTGGTTCGCCAAATCCAGTATCCTATCGCCAAAGTGGGTTAATACCAGATGCTTCAAGGCAGAACTAACAAAACCTGGAATTTCTGTTCTTTAGGGAAAAAAAAATCTAATGCCCATTGTTGTCTGAAAACTGGATCTGAAAAGGATACATTGTAAAATTAATTGCTGAACAGAAATTCCAGAAATAATTGAATTGAAAAAACAATATATACAATATTTTTCGTCAAATCAAGATATTTACCCCATTTAATGTAACTGAACGCAAGACCTTCATTCCCCCCTCCCATTCAATACTAAATTTCATTCCTGTAGGGTAGGATATTGCTTTGTGAAGGAGCAGTTCAAAGTCGATGCTCCATTTCCCCCCCCTTTCAAACGAACAAACTAACAAACGAAACCTCCTTAGCTCCCTAACCCACTGCAGAAGTCACAGCTTGGAGGTGTGAACAGTGAATTCTTGCCATTGGGACTAGTAATACTTTTCAGATGTGAATGATTTTGAGAGGATAGCTTTTTCCTCTTATTCTTTTCTAAACTAAAGAGTTCTAACAGTTTACTCCCCCTTCATGTTGAAACCTTTCCATATCTGAAACCATTACGTTTTTTTTCGTGTCCTTCAGTATTCTATCGGTGCAGAATCAGAAAATCCCACATGGCATTCAAGGAATGGCATACCCTTGTACGTAAACAATGGCACTGTGATATCCACAATTACGGTTTCCATCCCTTTCTGTAGAAGAGGTTAACATCCTCCTCGCCTTTTTTGATTGCCACTGTACACTGAGCAGATGTTTTCGTTCAGCAGCCCGCAATGGCATCTTCTGCTAGAGTGATCATGATTCATTCAGGATACATCACCTCCATGAGAGTTAAAATTGCCCCACTATCACCTTGCAGTTGTCAACACTGAATTTTACCTATCAGATTGTTTAAGAATTAGCTATCTCTGCACATCTCTGAGGTATAGAATATAAACACATAAAGCAAATACATTTGGAGTGTTGCCTTGCCATCCTATTTGTGTCAAACATTCGCCATTTGTTTTTCCTAAAAACTTCTAACCTCTGATACACTCCCTCTTCCTCTCTCCATCGAAATACTTCGATAGCCTCAGAGCACTTTGTAAAAATTTTGTGAATGTTTAGCTGTGTTTATGAAGTGAGACAAAGTAATGTTCCAGAGTAAGACAGAAAGATCCCCAAACTGGAAACATTCCAAATGTTAAATCATAAGGACATCTAAATCATGCCTGCTTAGATTTAAGAGAGAAACTGCTTGAAGACTACTGATATCTAACAATTAAAATGCTGAAGTGTGAACCTCTCTGGAAACAAAGTGAAACTATTTTGAGTTTGAGCCAAAATAGAATTTGTGAAGGGGAAAATTATAGAAAGAAAACTGGAAAAAAAATCAGGGACCATAAAAGATTTTCCTTAAAATCGGCATCTAGCAAGCAAAAAAAATCGGCATCTAGCAAGCAAAAAAAATATTATCATTCACACAGTTGTGTTCTTTCCCAGATGTCCTTTAACCACTGTCTGGTTTCCTTTGTACAATTTTAATGAGGGAGAAGCACCACTTACATATTGCTTTTTGCCTATAACATCCAGCCCGTGTTTTATTTTTCTATCTTGTTTTTTTCCAATTGATTTATCTTCTACCAAGTCAAGGTGCCCTAAAGGGAACCCAGAAGGCTATTTTAAAAATACGTATTTCATTGGGTACTCAGACTATTATATAGCTGAGTGTGACGGAACATATTCTCACGTTTTGAACAACTTAATTCTACAGCTCCTGGTTTTTAATGAATCTGATCTGATCCCAGTTAGAACCATTAAATATCAGTTCGTTCTTACATACCTATAGCGACACCTCCACCTCTGGAATGGCTCAGGGCTGGGTATTTCCGTGCTAATATCTGTGGTGGGAGTGTGTTTAGACAAGTCATTCTGAGATGAGATCCTGGTTCCTTGGAGGTCAACAAACACTTGGTATTTAATAGGGTCACAAAATCAGCTAACCTATCCCCTAACTTGTGCCGGGGATGACAGGGTAGGGCTTGTCAGGCTGCAGAGCTGGGCTAGTCCCATTTATGCGAATTAAATAGAAGACACAGCGGCGCAGCACCTCTTGGAGTCATACGTTAGTATTTCAAATTGGACTTTTTTTTTAAAGTTAGTTTATCTGCAGCATTACTCCCCGAGACCATCATTTTGGTCTGCCCTAGCATTTTGCTGCCACAAATAGGTTTTCCACCCTGTGGAGCTAGGAATGGAAAAGAATCGAGATGCCATGAACAGTGGTTAGTAGTAAATGTATTTAAGAAATCTACCCGAGTTTCTCTGGCTTATCTATTTAGCAGTCAATAACCAAATAGAAGAGTGGGAGGACTCAAATAGGAAACCATAGAATAGGTAAAACAAAAAAGATTAAGACCAAGATAATTTTGGGAGTAGCATTTTAAAAAAAAAAAAAAAAAGTTTGAAGAGGGAAGGTGCTCTAGGCTCTGACATATGCTCCTAAAATCAAGCATGGATATAAACAGTGATCTTCTTTCAACAGCAGAGAAACAAATACAATCTGGAATTGCGCCTCTGAAATTAAACACTGTCAAACATATATTAATGAGAGGAGCCACCTATCTCTCCACGACAACCAGTATGCTCCACCCAAGCAAGCAAGCAAAGAATTTTAGACTTTGCTTTATTGAACAGAGATTATAGAAAATCTGGTAGTAAAAAAATGCCTTTGGGTAAAATGCAGACTGTCCCAGTTTGCATTAACAGAAAGATCAAAACAGATCTGTTAATGTGTTTCTATTACAGAAGTGAAAGTTCTGAAAAACCTAAGGGAACAAATTACTTAAGTCAGACAGAGAACTTACTGACTTGGTAATTGATGGGGCTTGAAAATTACTGCAAACTGCCCAAGCAAGCCATGTAGAGAAATAGTCCAAATCTAAAGAGACCAATTACAGCTTTGGCAGCACGTAAGGGTAACACAGTTCGCAATGAATGGAGAATAGGGCTACTCATTTTGAAACTTACAGTGTGCAGGTGTTATACTAAAAATACAAGCTAACAACTGGAGAGCTGCACAGATCAAAATCAGCAAGTGTACTTAACCTACACTCAAGAAATCTTGAAAGAATTAACTGTGCAGATTAGATTAAAAAGGCTACAAAATTGTACTAAACTTTCTTTTTAAAGGAAAGATTAATAAATAATGGGATACCATGAACAGAGGTTTATCAAATAATAGTTTATGACTAACGTGATACATTTAGTCAGCTAACTTATCCAAAACAGGACTGATACAGTTTAATTTTTGTATGACTCTTACTGGCACACACAGCATGGGAGCATACACCAGGTAACACCTGGAAGACAGGAGGCTGGAGGTTCAGATCCCCCCCGAGCATGCCTTACAGTTGCAGTAATAGAAATAATTAAGTAAAACAGCAGGAGATGAAAGGTTATGGGTATTGTGATTCACATCAGCAGTTTTTATAAGTTGGTGGCAGGGCTGGAAACAGGGTCGTACTTGAAAACTTCTTGTAACTAGTAGCCCTCAGGACCCCTCTCCTCCTAAATGACTATAACCCATCAACGTAATGACACCATGAAAAAAATTAGTTTTAGAATACACCATGAGAGGAGAACGCCTCTATAAATTAATCTAAAAATAACTGGTTTAAGTTTAACCACCCATGCTCAAAGACATATTTAAAAAGAAGTACAGAGAAGGGGATGATATTCAGAAAGTCTGAAGAGTATTTGAGAAGACCACATAGCTTAGTAAAGCTATTTTAACATCTATCCAGCTAAAAATGTTAAGCCCAACTTCAGTTTTGAAATGTGATTTTTCCAACCTTCTTTTTATATGTAAAGGCAATTAGTGTTTAATTTAATGTCAATACACTGCAATTTGAAGAGGTTCTCAGTGTACACGAGTTGTCAAAAGCACTTCAGGAGTTTCACAAAATACACAGCCCAAAACCTTCAGATTTAAGATTTTATTTAGACACATCCAGCATGGTACACAATTGCACCTATCCTTTTCCCACTGAAAGGTGATGTGTAGAAGACTTCAACTCTGCAAAAAAAAAAATTAACAAATTTAAGAACTCTGTTACCTTTGAATCTAGAACAGCTGATATGCTTTAACTAGAATTTTGATGGGCTTTTCTTCATCCACCAGGTGCTTTTGTAGCAGAGCCCTTGACTTATGTGAAATCATACAGTTCTAAATGCTCAAGTTCAATACAAGCCTCCCGATTTTTTTTTTCTCCTTAGTCTAGGGAGCCAAAACTATCAGACTGGCGAAGGAATTACACAGATGACTTCACAATTTGTTCCAGTTATGAGATTCCAGTGAGGACTGTTATTTCCTTCCAAGAACTATTTGGGTTATTCCAGCTCCTCAAAAAGATTGTTTCTCAGATTACAGAATTGACAATACCAAGTATTTCCAAAGTGGAATCAGATTAAGATAAATTGAAGTGGCTTTTCAACTGGAAATGGTGTGCTTGCACAGTCTGAACTACGTCTGAGGCTTCCTTTGTCTGTTAGCATCATCAGCAAGCATCAATTAGAATCGTTTCTGCTGTTAATGACCTTATCTTAAGTGTACTTTATCCTGTAAATGGTTAGGAATGTTGTATGTAGATGGTGTGATTGTTACGACATGGTTGAACCGAAGTTCAAGAAATCTTGTCTTCCCCTGAGTTTTAACTGGCACATCAGAAAGCGTTTACAGTATCACAGTTTCTCATACTGTTTTGTTCACATCACACATGCCAGTTATCTCTACAGATTACACGAAGTATAGCGTTATGTTTCCTCAAAGAAGAAGGTAGACACGGCCTTGGTTACAGTTATTATCCAAATCAAATCAGTAGCACCCTTCTGCCAGTCAGCCCAGCTGTAGACTGTCGAGAAGCTGCAGTCAGAGAGGTGTGGCCTTTGGGGAGTCAAAGTTCACAAGTCAATGAGAGTGCAGCAGCCCTGCGAAGCATACTTAAACCTATTCATTATTTGAGTTTAGGTGCAACTGCAGACCACAACTCTAAGCACCTGGACTGCTAAAAGCTGCAAATTGTAATAATGGTTTTAGATAAGGTTAGACTCTTTAAAGCTCAGTTTTGACCACAAATTCCACTATGTTATGAAATCTAACAAAATCATTTACCCATTTAGCACAATTACAGTCTGTCCTCTTCATTTCTTAAGAAGCTGGTGTCTGACTATAACGAAAGGGGCGATAAATCCACTTCCAAAAAACCCACACATCACTGCGAGTAATCTCCATTTGTTGTCCACAGAAAATGGGAGGTTCTAGAACAGAAAAATGCATTAGTTTTGCAATCAATACAGTAACTACTTCCTCATCGACTTGAAAATAGTGAGAAGCTCAGAGCACTAACAGGTGGAGTCAAACTGACAAAATAAATATTCAGTCTCAAACAATTTCCCTTTCTCTCAAGGAAAGAAGCACAGTAATTAGAATAATAGCTTGGATGTGACCTCTGGAGGTCATTTTGTCCACTCTTCCCCTCTCCCCCCAATTCAGCACAGGGCCAGTCTGCTCAAGGCCTCATCCAGTCAAGTATAAACGTCCCTGAAGATACAGACCCCACAGCCTCTCTAGGCAACCTGCTCTGACACTTAATTACCGACATTGCGAAGGTTTTCCTCATGTTCATTAGGTATGTAAAATCAGTTTTTAGATGTAGGCCTTAGGACAACGTGTTAAGCACAAGGTACATCAGAAAGCGTTTACAGTATCACTGTTGCCCCTCATACTGCAATGCTCATCATCTGTACCACCGAAGCAGAAGGCTGCAGGGAAGGACCCTGAAGCCATTCGCACCACAGTTTGCTTTGCTGTGGCCTTTACAGTCGTACCACGAGACCCCAAAGCCCACCGGGAGAACCGACAACAGGGCAGTCGTTACTCTGCTCCTCACAGCGGCATCCAGTTCGGTGGGGCCTCAGAACCCGATTAGGTGCTAAACCCTTCACGGGGGCTCATCGAGCGACGAGCTCACCTTGAGCATGCCCGAAGCAGGAGGGGCCCGCGCCTCATCCCGGCGCCTACGGCGAGCCAGGGTAGGCCCGCACTGCGGCTCCAACCGTAGGGTTACCCCTCTCCAGCCATCCCCCGATCTCCCGCCAGTCCC